TGCGGGTATTTGTGAACTAACTGAATTGTTAAACTTTCTTTCACGGAAATAAAGCATTTAAGGATTATTTCTAGGAGGGTTGCAATTAAAGGGACAGTATCCCGATAATGCGCACGCGCGAGCGTCATCTGTTTTTTTTCAAAAGACAATAAAACTGTCATATTGACTCGACAAGATTTCCTTCCGGACCGCACCGCCGACAGAGATTTGTTGTTTATATTCTCAAGTAATATTTTAGACTTTCAAAGAAGTCGTTCGTCTTATGTAAAAATTTGGCTCGCGGTTCGAAGACTTATCGCGATTTTATCGCTAGCTGGGCCGCCTCGCGACCCGAAAATCTCGTTCCGCTCGCTTTAAAAACATATTTTCTCATTTGAAACTCGTGTCAGAGGTCAGTTGTTCCAAGTCTAGTAATAGCTGCCTGATTTGCTCGCTTTCTAGCCTCAAACGTTTGAAAGACATAAATAAAAATGCAATCTCAACGCTATATGAATCATCAGAAAGGTTAGTCAAAAATTATATTATGATTTCATGGCACTAGTTTTTCTAAACATGTAGCGCCTGTTTGTTTGATTTTGTCGGCCGTTAGGGAGATTCGCTTAAAAAAGTTTACTAACGCGTCGTTGCAAAAAATTCTGCTTCACGAAGCTCCCCTCCACAATATCTCCTCAGTCACATCATTATCAATGTCTCAATGGTGTCTTTCTTACAGTCTTTATTGTTGCCGTTTCATTTCTGCGTATTCCTTTCACAATCATCTGAGCATGTATGGAAGCTAGCAGAAGAAATAAGCCTTCAATCGGCATCAAAGTGCTTCCAATCTTTTGGTCCTCCGGCCAACGGCAATAAAAGTAACGCCAAAAAAATCCAGATTTTGCCCAAATCGAAACTTAACAGGAACAATATATCATTGATCTGCAATCCTGAGAAGTTTTAGTGTCGTATTGATCCCGGTCATGGTGCATGCGCGGTAACGGGATACTGTTCCTTTAAGTCACAGCGTTAAAAATAAGCGAACCAACAGGTAGTGTGCATTTCTTAGTTTCATTCCCATTAATAACAGCGCTTTTGACAACATTAATTTATTAAGCAATTCCATTGACGTATACCTTAACCCTAATAAACTAAAGCCTCGTCCAAACGGACGCATCATTGTTGGCCAACAACTCCCAACATTGTTGTTAGCAGAAGTCAAAGAAGATTCATGGTAGCTCATAGTGTAGCGAGCGAGTTGCTTGAACACACCCCCACTCATCCAACAATGTTGGGAGTTGTTGGCCAACAGTGTTGTGTCCGGTTAATTGCACGGGGCTCAAGTACTAGTCGGTAAAACTGTAGTTAATACAGTATTAACGGCAATCAATAGCAAAGAACATTATATTGTCGAGACTAAGACAAAATAATTAAGGAATTGCGTATTATATCAAATGCACTCTTATCGTCACATATCTCATTTTTCAGTATATCAACACAACAGGAGCTCGAGTGTGTACAAAGGAATTGTACGATTTAAAGTACGACCCTCTCTCAGTATCATATACTGTCTTGTCAGGTAAGAACGGGTTCATGGAATTCTCGTTTTAGTAACACATAGGTTTTACTGATTTCTCACAACTAATTCATTATGAATGCATAAAGAGATAACGAAAATCACTTCATTAATAGAGGAAGGCGATCGTTTTAAATATTAGCTCCCTGGAAGTCGTTCAGTGTTTTTGCTGCTGATTATCCCATGTACAAAATGCTCTCAATTTGGCGTCGTCAGTTCTATTTTCCTCTTTTCCTCCTGCTAAGCGTATCGCCCGCACAAGCAGTTGGAATGATGTTTGTGAAGCTGCCTCGTCCCCAGTCGTTCGCGTTGCTTGCCTCCATTTCTCGCGCTTCTCGATTGTTCTGTTCTCCCTACTAAGCCTTGGGAAGCCTGTGGAAAAGGCACTCTTTAAGGGACCAAATGTGTGGAGATTTCTAAACTGCACAGTCGTTTTATATCTTTATCTCAGATATTTGCCAGCCAAGATGGAGTTATTTTTGTGGCTACTGTTACTTCACAAGTCGTGCATGCGCCTCGTGGCTGACCGCTGAGTCAAACTGTTCTACGATGAGTTCCAATTTGGTAACGGTTCACAATCAAGAAGAAAATGTCTACATTCAACACCGTCACAATGGAGAGAGATCTTGGATTGGACTCAATGACCGAAGTGTGGAGGGCTCCTTTGCGTGGACAAACAAAGAAATAAGTAGTTTTAGGTTCTGGGCCCCACAGCAACCGAACGACTGGAAAAACGAAGACTGTGTTCACACCCTTGGCGCCAGGCATGGTTACACTTGGAATGATGTGCCATGTACTAACTGTTACAACTACACTTGTTTTAAAGGTACTTCGCGCAGCAGTATGAAGATTTATAATTGTATATATCTTAATCTTCACGTTCCAGATAGTGAATTTACTGAGTTAAAATTACATTCAAAAAGGTCGAAACACAATAACAGCATGTTAGGCAGATGGTTAGGTAGATGGAAGAGAGGGTAACACCGATCAGTTTCATTGTTAGAAACATAGGGAAACAAGTCGTTTACATTTGCATTAATAAAAATGTCCATTGACCTAAAAATGGTCGCAAAAGTCTGAAATCGGCGTAATCAAAAGATGAACAAGAAAGCGTTCATACGTTGGAACCATGGGAAAAGCCGCGCTAATCTCCGCTTACTTTTTAACACGGTTTTCTAAACACCTCTTTGCAAATTATTAACGAACACAAATACATACGTTAACTCAGGGCACGCTTACGACCCTTTTTGCAAGTTCCTTTTATCAAACATTTTTTTTTTTGGCCTCACCAGTGTACATTACTTACCCCACTACATTACAGTATAAACAAGCTTCACTGACTAAAAGCCTCTGTGTGTTTATTTTTAGACTTGGATGAATGTACCACTGGTTCCCATTCCTGTGACGTCAATTCCGTATGCCAGAATACCGTGGGTTCATACAAATGCTCGTGTAATGCTGGGTACACAGGAGATGGAAAACCTTGCAATGGTATTTGAGATACAGTTGATCCTCCATGTTTGACCACTTCTTCCAAGCGACCCATAAGTCGACAAATATCGTAGCTGTGAAATTGCACACAATAAATTGTTTTTCAAGGAGACGGCCTGTTAATGTAAATGACACCTTCCCGTAAGCGACTCTAATCTGAAGGTTCTTAAACAAGACGACGAAACCATTGAAGGTGCAATGTTTGTGTACAAAAGCCCAACACTGTCCTGTCATTTTGGAAAAAAGCCTTAAACCATATTTGTTAAAACATAAAAAAAAACAACAACAACAAACAAACAAACAAACAAGAACAAAAAAAAAATGGATACATTCACCTTAGCGACAGATGTAAACCATCAGGTAGATTTAATTTTAGTTATTCTGACGCTTTACGTAACTTACAATTCTCATGCAGATATCGACGAGTGTTCTACCAACTCTCACAGCTGTGACGTTAATGGGGTTTGCAGCAATACTGTTGGATCGTACGCATGCGCATGTAAAGCAGGATTCACAGGCGATGGCAAAACATGCTCTGGTAAGCTGTTGTGGTGTTGCAAAAAACGCTTCCAAAACTATGTGCGTCCCTGTATTTTCTACATTCGATCTTTACATTTAAACATGTAGAAAACGATGGACATATAACCTCAATGGTTCGAAAAATAAATAAAGTAAAACTAGAAATACGTTTCTCGCAAACTTTCATTAAACTCGGTCATGCACAGTTGTCAAGCAAAACCGGTTAGAAACTGATTGGGTGACCAGGGTCTAATCTGTCGTAAGACCTGGGACTCCTTTTTCTTCTGTTTTCCTTGTTGTTTAGTTGTCCTATTTGAGTTTTAAATGCCTTGAATCAACCCCTTATGAGTTTCTGGTGTAATTTAATGTTTTTTCCCTTCGTTTTTATGTAAAGAAGGCAAAAACATCGATAAGAGCAGAAGATAACGCAGATTTCAAGTGTTACCTATTGTACTTAAGCAGGATTAACGCTTAGAGAAAATGAGAGTAAATGACCTTATTGATCAAGAGTGTGCTGCATCACTAAGCAAGAAGCCTTCGTCACTTTTCTCACCAGATATCGACGAGTGCCCTACCAACTCTCACAACTGTGACGTTAATGCGGTGTGTAGTAATACTGTTGGATCTTACGCATGCGCATGTAAAGCAGGATTCACTGGAGATGGATTCACATGCACTGGTGAGCCGTTTGAGAACAATTTTGTTTGTTTGATATGTTTGTTTTTTGAGTGAACAGCAACGACAGCAATACAAGAGTCTTTTGTGTTCTTCTCGCCTTTTACAGTTGATAAGTTTTGGTTAGGCTGTAATTTATATTTATTTTAGTATTCATCTTGACTGTATCTAGTAAACAAAAAGAAAATAGGAGCCACGCATCCAGTTTATATCATCGGATAAGTTCAACGATGGTGATTGTTCAAACCTGCGATCGTTATTTTAGGCCAAACAATTGGTTCGATACCCTAACCGTAAAACAATAGAAAATATTGATAAACAATGATGTGCTATACGAGCAGCTCTTACATTACTTTTTCATCACGCTTAAGATAATTCATTCCGTTTTTCTCGTTCTGTTTTCTCTTAGCAATAAGAAACGTTTTGATAATACATTTTGGCATTCTTCGTTTTGTAGATATTGACGAGTGCGCCACCGGTACTCACAACTGCCACAGCTCACTTGCGTCATGTACAAACACAGTGGGATCTTTTAGTTGTTCATGTAACCATCCTTACAATGGAAATGGCAGAACTTGCAATCTAGCATCAGGTAATCAACTCGCTGAATATTACGAAGATACCCATTTACTAGACCTCTGGTATGCCGGCGTAGGGATCGTCGTTACTTTCGGTGGGACTGTCCTAATACTCATTTCGTACCTACGTCACTAAACCAGCCTTCAACAAATGTTTGAGCTTCTCACTCTATCTGGATTTTGTCCTGCAACCTCTTATGTTAAGGAATATTTGGAGATAGTGGTCTAACGATTAACGGACTATGATTGTTATAGACATCACTTCTTTTGACTGTGGGAGCTTTAAGATAATGGTAGTTTGTTGGAGTTGCGGAGACGAAAACTTAGTAAACAATTCCTACAACACAAAACAAAAGCGAACTAACATTAATTAGTTTCTGCAACACCAAGAAACAATGCACCCAAGATAACATATACTAAAGAGTTCAGTACTCTATAGAAAAGTGTAAGAAAACGATTTTTAGTTGCGACCTGAGCAAGTAAGAGGAACTGAAACGTTGCGACAAGGACCCCGTTAGCTGCCATAAACTGATCAGATGGACTCATGATCAGTGGCCAACTTAAAACCTTGAGCATCATCAAAGGGTTCTTGGTCCAATTTTTTACAAGAGATAAAGAAGCTTCACTATAAGAAACATATGAAAATGGAGCGTTGTAAATCCGTTGCACACTGAGGCGAATAGTGCTGGGGTGCTACATACGTGAAAGTTTTAACTAGCAGAAATCGCTTTGTCATTAGACCCTTCTCACTAAAATGGTTTAAATAGAAGCATGGGAGTGAGATTGGAAAGGGTCACAAACTAGAAATATTGTTTCTTCTCAATATTATTTATTCAATATATCACCGTTTCTGGTTGTCTGTCCCGCCGCTAAATCTTCAAAACCGGCACATGGTTACCATATTTGGACGAGGTCGATGTAGGCAGTACCCAATCGATGGAAGGCTCATCCTCGATCCGCATAATTCTTCACATCATATATACTCAGCCTCATTTAATATATGAAATATTTGTGACTCAATAAGGTTCTCAATAGAAGAGGAAAACTTTGAACTTGTTTCCGCCATGTTAAGGCGTGGAGTCGAAAAATCATCCACATTGATCACGTCGAGCGAACCATTACATTAATCAGGATATATGAACTATTACTTTCAATCCCGATAATTGATTTCTCTAATTTTGCCGATTAACTGCGAATACGGTCAACTTTAACCCCGTCACTGCCATAGTGTTTGATGGAGTTTTGTAAGGCGAGTCTAACTTTTGAGTCTGCAGACGAGATCCTATGATGTGAGCATTCAAATGAAAGCTCTCTGCCTGTACTTTCATATGGTGCTATTTGTTTGTCAAAATTTTAGAAAATGAAATTTGGAAATTTGGTCGAAATTTGCCTTTGGCCACATTTGGCAGTGAAAGGGTTAACCGTCGAGACCCAGCTGTTGTCTAACAAAAAGTTCGGAAATAGATCCGCAGAGAATGTTCCCCTAAATTTAAATTTGCCAGTTAGTATCTGTTTATCGTTGTTAATATCTTTTTCTTTTAGTATCTTGTGTTTGGATTCTATTTTTATTCATTCACAGTAACCTTTAACCTTTGAAAGAAATTCAGCTTGCTACATCCGCTTTCCTTTCCCTTACAGTGTATTTTATTTCGCTCTTCCTTCCCTTTACCCTTGTTTATTAATTCTGTTCCAGTTTGCTCTACAACCTTTTACCAAAAACGCCAAACGAAGAAAAAATAATGCGACTTCAATTAGTAACGTATTCGTACCGTGCGTAAGCCAACACAGGAACGAGAACGTCAGAAGAATCATAAATTTGGATTAGCAACTTTGCAAGTTTATCGTGCTTTTCAATAATGTGAAACCTCCTTCAAAACTTATCAGAATTCGGTAGGGATATCGTCCAATGGACTTTATGAACTCAGTCACTTGATGCGGGGCTTTTAATTTGGTCTGAGGACAAATACGAGTTAAAATGACTGAAACATTTAATGTATTTATACTAATAAACATAAAATGTTATGTACTACGGTCATCCTTATTTGCAAAAATTAAAAATTATTTGCAAAAACTTAGTAACCAAAATGTCGAAGTTTTTTAACTGAGAAACCACCAGACTAATCCAATTTCACGATTGTTTATTCATTGAGCCAAGAATAAGTTGGTGAAGTGAGACGCAAACAATTCTTACATGTACCAGTCAATGACATCAATTCCCATTATTTAGCGTCGCATCACAGTTAGATGTAGTGACACTCTCTTCGAACGTTTTTCCCTCTTGTACGATTCCGAATAACTGTGGAAATTTCTTTAATTTAGATAGCCGTTTTGCGAAGGCAGGTAGCCTTTTTATATGGAGGTGGGGGTCACCGGGTTAGTAAGGTGACCCGCTTAGGTAGGGTAACCCGCCTGTCCATGCAATCTCTTGAGTGGTCACCCCACCTATCATGTAAACTTGATCAAATTAAAATGAGAGATTATATGAACAGGCGGGGTACCCACCTACACGTGAACATTACAGGTCTTTAAAATGTGTACTTGTGGTTGCACGGTGTATTTTCATAATCACATCTGACCAACCTTTGTTATTTTGACTGTTTTTGTGTTCCGATCTTCTTCTTCTTCTTCTTCTTCTTCTTCTTCTTCTTCTTCTTCTTCTTCTTCTTCTTCTTCTTCTTCTTCTTCTTCTTCTTCTTAATATTATTATTATTATTTTAAATTGAAAGAGGAAAACCGTTATTTTGAAATATTAAGTAATACTAACAGTTTATCAGTCGACCCCATAAAATGGCTTTTCGGTCAATTTTATAATTGCAATTTGATAATTCAAAGCATAATTATCTTCTTTACAATATGTGAAATTTATTGGGAAAAAAATGAAATAAGGAAATAATGCTTCTTCACTTCAGCCTTAAGCTGATAGAGATTCGCTATATTACCTAAAGATTCGGGTCATTCCAGAGAATGACTGTGTAGGGCTATGTATGGCTATGTAGGGCTATGTAGGGCTATGTATGGCTATGTAGGGCTATGTAGGGCTATGTAGGGCTATGTAGGGCTATGTATGGCTATGTAGGGCTATGTATGGCTATGTATGGCTATGTATGGCTATGTATGGCTATGTAGGGCTATGTAGGGCTATGTAGGGCTATGTAGGGCTACGTATGGCTATGTAGGGCTATTTAAAGTTATGCCATATATTAACTAACGGGGAACCACTATATGATGCTTACACCACGTACCTACCGGCGGACTGCTCATAGCCGCTGACCAGCAGTGAATCGAAAGGAAGGCATGTCTAACTTGTTTCTGTTTCCAATATTACGAGAGTGCACATCGCCCACTTTCATTAACCTATTACAGAGAAGGGACGGGGCAAGTCCCTTAACATATGTTAAATAAACTCGAATTTTTTTTTAAAGGCTTGTCAAAAAACGCAAGGCACTCGTTTTATCACTGGTTAAAAAATCTCTCGCTTATTACGCTCAAATGTTAAACCAATGATAACACTGATGTTCGTGTTTTAAACATAACTAAACACGGAACGCTTTTAGACTAGAAAACCATCGTTTTACCTTTTTCTACATTGAGATACATTACAATAGAATTAAACACCAAAAAACATTCACCAACTTGGTGAATTTGAGAATTAACTTGAACGAAATGGAATAAGAGTGATAAAAATTAATTTGAAACAGCGTGAATACACTTTTTTTGTGGCGTTTTCGCTACATACCGTCGCAGTCGTGGTTGCTTAATATGCTCCTTATATGGAAAGAGACTGTGACTGATAGGGAGATCGGGTATGCCAAATATGGAGAATATAGACTCTACGCCTCCGACCGAGTTTAATAAACTTTGGAGAGGCTTAACTTTAACGTCACTGAAATTCGGAGTAGATTGCGAGATTAATTAAAACCGCACCATTTGAAGAGAGAGCAGCATGCCGCTGGCACGCAAGCTCAGAAAGAAAAAACTTTATTTTGCGCGTTTCAGTCTGATCATTATGATAACAAGCTTCAAGGGTATCTGACACTTGTGCGAGCTTGTTTTTTAAAGGGAGGCTCTCCAGAAAAGTGTGGTTCGCTGCTTTCCGTTATTTACTCTATGACGCATCTCTTGACGCACACGGATCCGTGCAGAAGAAGAAAATGAAATTGCATGAAAAAAATGAAACAGGAGTAGTTCATACTTCCTTTTTGAGTTCATGGGCATCCTAACTCAGAGGATTTTGAAACTCGACCCTGGTACCAAAGTTCCAAGGCAACCTCATAACAGTTACAAAGGTATAAAGTAAAAGTCTCTTTAATATTACTGACACTACAACGTTTTTATAAGCTCTATTTTTTTTACAATCTGACTGAGTTAATTCTCGTGCGATGATTGACTAATTTCTATCAACAATAAGAGGACAAACATAAAATTTTAATTTCTGCAAGATGAAACACCGTATATAACGGAGAGTTTCTAAAATTTACCCGCTTAATACGGACACCGTTTAATATGGACAACGGACACTTATTTGTGTCCCGAGGCACAAACTCGCATACATTGTTAACCCCTGCTATTTACGGACACTGGTTATCTGCGCGCTGTCTATTTTCCTTGAAACAATCACGTGCTAATTGTAGATATTGTATACTGTTCAAACAATTACAGATTTCTGTGGGTTTGACTCTTGTACTATATAGCCATGTAATATTTTTTTCTGCTACAAAAGTTTCACTTACTGGCCTTTCGCCGCAGTCATTGTTCCTACCCTTCTTCCTCTTTGTCCTAGTCTTAATATCAATACAACATGTGTCCTGGACGTTTTTTTCCGAGAGCACACTTATTACGGCCATCAGGATGATACGGACACCAAGGCATTTCCCCTAATTGTCCGCATTAACCAGGTTCTACTGTAGTTTCTTTTTAAAAAGTATTTTTTTTTAACTCATCCTTGTTTCCAAACATTTGTTATAATGAAAAGCAAATTGACGCCAGATCATAACATTGTCAAATTTTCCACTAGATTCACTCGCCTGGGGCTCTTGCTACGGTGGATCCACAACACTTTGACAATGTTATGATGCAGTTTTATCGTCAATAAGACGACAAACGATAAAGAAACTAGCGTCAATGTGATGAATTGAACCATAAAANTTTTTTCCGAGAGCACACTTATTACGGCCATCAGGATGATACGGACACCAAGGCATTTCCCCTAATTGTCCGCATTAACCAGGTTCTACTGTAGTTTCTTTTTAAAAAGTATTTTTTTTTAACTCATCCTTGTTTCCAAACATTTGTTATAATGAAAAGCAAATTGACGCCAGATCATAACATTGTCAAATTTTCCACTAGATTCACTCGCCTGGGGCTCTTGCTACGGTGGATCCACAACACTTTGACAATGTTATGATGCAGTTTTATCGTCAATAAGACGACAAACGATAAAGAAACTAGCGTCAATGTGATGAATTGAACCATAAAATTATTATTTAACCTGCTATTTTCGTACTTCATCGTATGGAGCAGAGATCACTCTTCCATTTGCGGGCGCAGATTGAGTCAGCTTAAGAACAATGCCTACAGAGATATTTGTCTCCCTTTTCCACGTTATTGCTTAAACTTGACTGTATGTCAACCAGTGTGTGAAAGTTAGTAACCAATCCGCAATTACTCGTATCCAGACAGAGATCGCGACAGTGGGGCAGGTGCTGGGAAATCTTAAAGGAGGAGAAAATTACCCACTTTGAACCTGTTTATGTGCAGCAGATAAAACTTCACGAAACCAGTTAAACTACAAAAAATATTAAAATATCAAATAATTTTCTAGCTTTTTAAAAGTTAAATTAATTCTTATGATAATAAGTATATATATATATTTTTTATATCAGAATGTCAGAATTACGGAAGTCTTAACAGCGGTGACAGAAAGATTACGTACCCTAATAACCACGGTTATTGTGACAGTGCAATCGGACCTGGATGGTTTCGTTTTGAGAGATCCGCCGGCACAAGAATGCCAACTTCGTGTCCACCTGAATACAGATGTGGCACTCATGTAACCGGCTGGTTGAATGGTGGTAACCCAACAGTAGCAGACGGTCAGGTCAGCAGGACGGTGTGTTTTCATTTGTTGGCTAACTGCTGTCGATGGTCAACAAACATCAAAGTGAGAAATTGTGGTTCTTATTATGTGTACTATCTTAATGGTACACCTGGGGGTTTTTGCAATCTCCGTTATTGTGGCACTAACTGAAAACAAGGTGCAAGTAAAGTAATACATAATGCTATCAAAAAAAGGAAAAAAAAGGACTTCAATAATTGAATTTCTATTATAACTTAAGCAAACGGAGAAAAAAAAACTGTATAGCACTATATACCTCAACGTACTACTCGAGTTAACAAGCAAGAACAGTTTTTTTTAAACTTAAAAAGAGGATTTTAAATTTTGTTTTAAGTTGTTTTGAAGATCAAGTAAGAAATACAATTATAGTAATAGAACCTTACCAGGAAGACAAACTAGGTAAAATAACACATTCAATTAGCAATACAGGTTTCTGTGTTATTTGTCACGGTAATCAGAAATATACACTGAGTCCAACAAACGCCATGTAGTTGCTAAATAAACCGCGATGGACAGATGTTTTACTAGTTAGGAAAAGATGTACCGGGAAGTGCGGGATATATATGAATCTGCTCACTTGTTTTGATATTGATGGTATAGGGATGCACTCTGTAAAATCGGAAACGAAATGCATAGCGACTATAGGTACAGTCACTCTCGTCTTGCACGCACATCGGCAGTACGAACAGCAGCTAAATCCCCTTTTTACTGCAGACTCTTGCTTGCTAATAACAAGGACACTAGCCCTGCGGTCCCGATGGGGACTGCACTAGGTTGGGCAATCATTGGATTAGGATTAGAGTTTTTTGAGAAATAAACATACAATTTAGTGAAATACCTGCCACATGTGTTTGTTTTCATTTAGTATGCCAATAGGCTATTGGCAAGTTGGCGTCATTTTACTCACGACCAGAACCTCACGATTACAAGTATTACATAAAGGAGCGCTCTACTGACTGAGCTAAATCCAGGCCAGACGGTGGAGTTTTACTTTGTGAATCAAGTGTACAAGTCACACTCGTACGAAGGACACGAAAAGTCAATTGTATACTTGCGAGTGCTGAAAGTGAGAAACCCAACGAATTGACTCTAGAAAGAAACTTGAGATTAACTAGGAAACAAAGAAAATTTTTTTTGACCCCTGCGAGATTTTTAAGGGCTGTCATGCTAAGAAGAGAGTCCTCAATAGGTTTTTCGGGATACGTAATTTCCCTCATTTGAAGCTCGGGATACGGGACTTTAAAGCAAAATCAGAGCGAGATTTGGGATTGAAAGTATGCGCGGGAGGTAGGATGCCTAAAATAAACCTCGGGATTACGGGATCGCATGAAGTTTTGGGTCGGGATTACGGGAGTGAAAACCCTATTGGGGACCCTCTGAGAATGAAAGCCTGCTTTCTCCGGGTCTCCATTACAGATCCCCCGTCGTTAGCCGTTTTGGAAAACTTCATCTTAACTCACATCTTTCTTACCCAATGCTTCCCAAAACTCCTGCCATATAAAAACACTGAGCTAGTTCACACAGCTCTTATAAAGCTGAATTTTAGTCGGTTTGCTGTGGTATACTAACACCCCTCTGGCCTTTCACAGCCTTACGTTATTGAGATCTCCTTGAATTCAAAGCCATCTTCATTGCTAATAACGCTGCCGAAATAAATAAAAAAATAAAAGTCATCAATGAATTCCAGTTTCGCCGGGTATCTGGGGTGAGAGCATCGCCTTCAAGTTGTCGCCCCATGTAAGGGAATCCAAGACGGACTCCTTGAGCTACATTCCGGATTCCAAAGCCCAGGATCCAAACTCCACAAGCAAAATTTCCAGGATTCCAGATACCATTAGCAAAAATATTTCAGGGATTCCGGATTTGGATTCTATTGCATGGCCCGACTTGGGCTCTTGGCAAATCCGATTACACTGGGGATCACACTGGGGATACTGTAAATACTGACCCCATTGAAATCAGTAATATACTCAACACACATTTCTCCAAAATAGGACCTTCCTTAGCCTCTTAAATTAAAGATACATCCAGTAATTTTACTGATTATGTTACCCCCGCAGAACACAGTTTTAATTTGGCAAAAGTATCACGCCAGGAGGTCTTCAATTTAATTCAGAAAATACCGAGTAATAAAGCCAGTGGTCTTGATAACATATCAGCACGTCTCCTGAAAGAAGCGTCTCCCATAGTTACTCGCAGTCTAACTTTTATAATAAATCAGTCAATTACCACTGGAATATTTCCAAATGCTTGGA